AGAGCCGAGAATATCACATCGTCGGACGCCCGGGCAAGCCTCCGCCGCCGCGCCTTCAGCCGCCTCCGCGCTGAGCGCCAACGTCTTCATGTTGTTCAATGACGGGGCTATGGCGACCCCGATCCCCAGCTTTGAGTGGCGTTCGAATGGACCAGAAATTGAAATCCGAACTCGGGGATATGCGATAAGGGGACGCCCATCCACGATAGGAGTGTTTCCTACTAGCCCGCCCCCCCCCAGGAGTACACCCCGAAATGCTCCTCCTTTTTCTGAGCGGCCAAATTGTTGGGCTCGGACGCGCCGAATCCATGCCGAATCGACGCAGAACCCACGTCGGAGTACACCAAAAGACCGCCTCCTGCAAGACAGGAGAGGCCCCCGAAGCTGCACGATGCCAAGAAGACACCGTGGGAGATCCGCCCCGGAGCTCGGGGACGCACCGCCCAGGCGGGTCACAGGGCAAGCCCTGTCCTGGCAGGATCCTGCGCGCCAGCCCAGGCCTCGCCAGGGGCTGTCGACAAGTGAGAATAATGGCCCCGCGTGCGCACACGCCAGGCGCATGCTGGATCCCTCCCCCCTCCCAGCGTGCACTCCACGTGCGAAGCATCCGGCGGGCCACAATTGGGTCCCCCCCCCTGGGGGCCGCGGGCACGTGAAAATATGCTGCTGTTTTTCTTCCTCTCCACCCCCTCATGAGGCAAATCCGTTTCCCCTCATGGGGGCTATACCCGTCCACAACAGAGCACGACCGTGCTCGACTGGCTGGCCGGGTTCATGCCACCGCATTCTCGGCGATCGGCACGCACAGCAAAAGTGGAAAGTGAGTATATGTGCACCGCGCGCGCACCAAGCGCGTGTTGGATCCCCCCTCCGCGCTTCCACGAGGGCCCCCTGCAACCTCGCGCAGCGCGCTGCGCGCGCTGCGCACATCTTCGCGCCCTCGCGCCGCCCCTCCGCCGAGCAGCGGAGGACGGGGAGGCATCGGGGCCGAACCGCGAGGCGAGAAGCGCATTAAACAATGTAGACAAAAATGCCTTCTGCATGTTTTAAGCATGCCCAGAACATGTAAATAAACAGGTGTTGGCACTTTAGGAACATCTCTCAGACATGCTGAATACATATGTAGATCATTTGGCAATATGCCTCCTCTCAACTGGTCGTCTTCCACCACCTCCACGAGGGCCCCTTCACTTCGCGCCGCGCGCTGCGCGCGAACACATCTCTTCGCGCCCTCGCGCCGCCCCTCCGCGGAGCAGCGGAGGACGGGGAGGCATCGGGGCCGAACCGCGAGGCGAGAGAGGAGGAGGAGTACCAGTGGAAACCCAAGAGTCATCAACGATGTTGGAATTAACCCTCCCTCCAAGCTCCCTCTTCATAGGCCCCTACAACGGCTGATTTCCATCGAGGGAACTCCCTCGTCGGACGACAACAGTTGGAAAATTCTGAAGCGTGCCAAAACATTGTTCTCGGGATTTCAACGCCACGTATCTACCTGAGTGCTGCGTCTTGACGATCCAGAATCGTGCCAGAATGCCATTTGTGGGACTTCGACACTGCGAATCAACAGAACTGCTGCGCCCGCATAAGCTTGAATCCTTCCAAGACACCATTTCTGGTACGCTGATCATGGGAGATCCGTGGAACTCTTGCAAATTTCAAAAACGAATGTGCGCGGCGCTGAGGCGAGAGCCACATTCTGAAAAGGAGCCGCCCTCAATCTGTGAAACTCTTGCAATTTTTAGAAACGAAGGTGCGCGGCACTACGGAGAGAACCACATTTTGAAAATCGCCCGCCGTCAAACCGTGAAACTCTTGCAAATGTTTAAAACGAATGTGCGCGGCGCTATGGCGAGAGCCACATGTTGAAAAGGAACCGCCCTCGATCCGTGAAACTCTTGCAAAATTCACAAACGAATGCGCGGGGCGCTAAGGCGAGAGCCACTGTTTGCAAACCAACCGCCTTCAATCCGTGAAACACTTGCAAAGTTTGAAAACGAATGTGCGCGGCGCTGAGGCGAGAGCCACGTTTTGAAAACGACCCACTCTCCATCTGTGTTGTCACTTTCGGGAACATAAATTGGTGACGAAATCTCCGGCGAAACGCCCGGCCCGCCCTAACAACTGTCCTCGGGGTGCGGCAGGAAGGAGTTATCTATAAGGAGAAGGAATGGAGGAAGAGGAGGAGGAGGAAGAGGAGAAGGGGAGGAGGGGGAGGAGGAGGAGGCGGAGGAGGAGGGGGAGTAGGGGGAGGCGGAGGAGAAGAAAGGGGAGGAGGAGGAAGAGGAGGAGGAGGAGGAGGAGAACGAGCGCAAATAACTTCGCGCCCTCGAAGCCGCCATTGCCTTTCAAAGGTCCCGTTGGGCCTCCGCCGCCTCGCCGCCGGCCGCCTCGGCGCTGGGCGGCGCCGCCGCGACGCCCCCGCCCGCCTCCGCGCCGGCCTCCGCGCCCGCGGCGGGCGGCGGCGGCGCCGCCGGGCCGCCCAGGAACTCAGCGCCGAGCGAGGTCCCGGCGCCCTCGTGGTACGGGGGCGAAAAATCACATAAACATAAAAACTCTGAGGTCCGCGCGGATGTCTCGGATCAGCGCTGAACCCCCTGGAGGCGCCTCCAGCGCCGCCCTTGGCGCGCTCCGCGCGCCAAGGATGGGGGTCCAGCGCGGATCCAAGAAACCCGCGCGGACCTCCGAGTTCGTGTGTTTATGTGATTTGTTGTTCCCCTGCGCGGGGGGGGGGCAACGATGGCGCAGTCCACAGGCCGGGATGAGGCGACAACATCACGGTAAGGGCTCGAATAGAGTGACCGCCTCTGTCACGGAAGGGTTCGTGCTGCGAGTCTTCTTCTGCCGCCAGGGCTCCCACTGCGACTGGAGACGGTGGACGGGGAGGATCCTACGAGGGCACAGACGATACACCGACACCGACCCTGGCCGGGCCCATCCTGGGCCCGGGATCGGCTCCGGGCTTGGGCACGAAGGCATCTACACCAATCCCGAACCAAGAATACGGCAGGTTCGTGTCGTATCGACTCTGGCGCTGGTTCCTGACCCCGCGGCGATCCTTCAAACTTGAACGATCGGCCGTTTCCGAAACATCCGATCGTCAACATCGACCGACTCTGGCTCGCCAGCGGCGTTCAACGTTGAACGCTGGCGGCGGGGTCGCCGCGAGTCGACACGACGCGAACCTGCCGCAGGCCTGGTCAGGGTCGGCGTAGGTGCAATAGCTGGTGCCTTCCAATAGCATGGGGCTGGCGGCTCCGGGGGGGGGGAAACGTCGACCTGGGATGGGCGACACATCGCCAATAAGCACATCGGCGATGGGCCGCCGATAGCGATTCCGCACGTTCCTCGGCGGGGTCCGCTACCGTTCCCCTATCGGCGATCAGTGGGCGCTTGGGGGCGATGCATCTCCTCCTCCTCCTCCTCCTCCTCCTCCTCCTCCTCCTCCTCCTCTTCCTCTCTTGCTCCTAGTCTTCCTCCTCCTCCTCTTCCTCCTCCTCCTGCTCCTCATCATCATCATTATCATCATCAACATCATCATCATCATCATCATCATCATCATCATCATCATCATCATCATCAACATCATCATCATCATCATCATCATCATCATCATCATCATCATCATCATCGTCGTCCTTCTCCTCCTCCTCCTCGTCCTCGTCCTCCTCTACCTCCTCTTCCTCCTCCTCCTCCTCCTCCTCCACGCACGTCCTCCTCTTCCTCCTCCTCCTCCTCCTCCTCTTCCTCCTCCTCCTCCTCCTCCTCCTCCTCCTCCTCCTCCTCCTCCTCCTCCTCCCCCTTCCTCATTTACCTCCACTACTCTTCCACGACCATCCACCCACCTTCTCCCACCCAATCTCCAAACCATGTTTTTCACAGCTCCGGAGCCTCACACAGCGCCTGCTTCCCCCTTTTCCCTTCCTCCCCCTCCGCCCTCCACCCACTGTTTGCCCTTCCTCGCCGTTAATTTCTTCTGTCGCGGCTTGACGATATGATTCTTTCATGATGTATTACGAACTAATTCCTCTCCCGGCGGCCTTACATGATGATTCCTTTTGGAGCGGAATACAAGTTGTTTCAATGTTGTGGCGGCCCTCGCCAGAATTTCTATAGAGGATGACATGTTGATCTGTATGTGGATGATGACACATTGATATGGCCTGTGTCGAGGCTTGCACATGGACTCCTTGTTGCGGCGGCCTACACATCGGTTCCTGTAACGACGGACATCCCGAAAAGTACTTGGTAATGGATTTCATACTTGATGTTTGTTGCGAATTACGAAGGGTCATCTTGTGGCGGATTACAAACAAATTCCTTGACTGGCTGATTACGGATGAAGTCTTTTTGTGGGAGATTACACGTCCATTGTTTTTTGTGGCGGATAAAAAATTGACCCCGAAGATTGCATACTGACCCTTTCTGTGGCGGAATACAGGTTGATTCCTTATGTGGCGCATCACACATTGATTCTTTTTGTGGCGGACCATCGAATTCTTTTGAATGCGATTTGCAAATTGAATCTTGTTGGGGCGGATTACAAAAGAAGTTCTTCTGCGGCGGATTGCAAACTGATTCCTTGCGTGGCGAATGATACAACATCTTTTCGTGGCGGATAACGATTCCATTGCTTCTCAAGGGCATTCCTGGTAGTGAACCACGGGCCCAAAAGAAAAAAAATGAAGCGCGCAATCTTGGAAAATCGCAGCAGCCTCATGTTTCCAAGACTTGCCATATGCTTTGAACAAAGACAGAACCGAGTAGGCTCATGTAGTTGAAACCCAAAGCAGATGGCCCCAAGCAGCGCGCTCGCAAAGAGCCGGGCCGCTGCGGAAGAAGTCCGCCGGATCAGACAGAGGGCCGCCGAGGCATCTGGCCCCCCCCCCCCCCCCCTCGAACGCGGGGGCTTCGACGCCAAATGCCGGGGTCCATGAGGGCGGGGGCCCGCGACCCTTCAGGTCGATGCCCGTGGAGCTCGCCGCCGCTCCCATGGCAACCAGCTACTCGGCGAGCAGCTTGCCCGCCGATGTCTTCGCCCGCCCGCGCCCCGAAGGGGGCCCGCGCCCCGAAAGGGGCGGCCCTCCCGCGTCGTCGACCAGGGCACGGCACCCGAGGAAGGCCCCAAGAGCGGGCGACGTCAGCAGCGCATCGACGCCCTCGGTCCTTTTCGCTAGCTCCTGCGCGATCGGCCCCGAAGGCTTGCGCTCCTTCGCGCGACCAGCAACGGCCGCCGAGACGCCCCTGTCGCGCTGCTCCGCGCCAGTTTCGGGGCGGCGCCGCGGGCCCTTGAGCCCGTGGGCGCCGACGCCGAACATCTTGCCCAGCTTGATTGAAGCGGGGCGCCACGCGCCCGCGGGATATCTCGAGGCAGCTCGTCAGCTGGTTCAGGGCCTCGCGGATCTCCGCTTCAACCAGCTGCTGGTCGTCGCGGAGCCGGATGGCCGCGCCGCCCAGCTCGCCCTTGCCACTCGCGAGCTTGACATCCTCTTCGTGTAGATTCGCCTACGTGGCGGCGAGGCCCTCGCGAGTCTTATCGATGGGCGTCCTTGACCTAGTACTTTTCAACCCTGGCCACGGTAGCGCAGACCTCCCGTTCGGCCTCGCGGCTGGAAGCCCGCGCGCCAAGGCCCTCAGAGCCGATCCAGAAGAAGCGGCAGATCCCGGCGTCCTTGTCGAGACCGATGCCCAAGAGCACTTGGGACTCGGTCTCAGAGGCCCCAGCAGGCGAGGCGAACCGCGCAACCCGCCAGCTCGCAGTCAGCGACTGCACTGCTGCTCCTCACGGCACAGCGGGTGGCGACCTTGATTCTGTCCTCTTCGCAAGGCGCAGCGGCCTCCGCAACGGCCGCCGGCTCCTCGGGCCACGCGAGTTCGCCCTTGCCGGCAAAGAAATCTACACTGAGCTCCTCGGGCCTCTCATTCTTCTCCTGGCCACTTAGGTCTCGAGTTCGCCGCCGCCAGGCGGTGGCCGGGAACTCTGTTGAGGCTGCCCCGCAGCAGTTTCGCATTCCTCTTCTACTGCTCGAACTCCTCCAAAGCCTCCTGCTCGAGTCGATGAGTCCGCGAGCCGGGCCCGGCCACTTTGGCCCCGAGGCCAGCGGGAAATGACTCGCCCACATCGAACTCCACCCCTTGCTCCGCCAGGTGTTTGCGGGCCGCCCTCGTCGCCTCGCCCTCTGGCCTTGTCGGCGACGGCCTGCTCGACACAGCGCTCGCGCGCGTCAAGCGCGTCGTCCTATCCAACCACGGAGGTGAATTTCGCCCCCTCTTCGACAGGGGCTTCCGTTTTGCTGTCGATATCCTGCCTGGCCTGCGCGGTCTCCTCAGCCGCGGCGAACTCGCCGCCCCTGACCGCATTGGAGAGCTCAGGGAGGCCCGTGAGCACCTGGGCGGCAAATACTGTGATCTCACCCTTGACAGCAGGGCTACTCAAACCCTAAGCCTTGTCCGCGTAGCCGAACTCCCTCATCATGGTTCAAGAAACTCTGGCCAAAGGAGATTGCAAACCTCCTCCGGGCCCGAAGTAGACACGCTCAGGAGCTTCTCGATGAGCTCACAGTACCTTTCTGGGACCGTGTCCTGAGAAAGCATATTGGAGACGGCATTGTAGACGTTCTTCTGGTAATCAACGCCGTCCTCCGTGGATTTCACGTTGTTCAAGAGAGCCACGGTGATGCCCCAGCACTTGTCTGACCGAATGCTGTCCAGCTTCCCCTCCAACTTTGCGGTGCTGTCCGTCACCTGGTCCTCCTGGCCCTCCCTTTTCATGATCTCCTTAGCCTTCTTCAGCTCGGCCGCGTCCCCCTCCGCCAGGCCCATTGTCGGCAATTCACCGGCCTCCGTGGCAAAATTGAACACCACCAGCGAGCCTGCACCGAGAAGGATCGTCGCGGCCCAATCTGGTTCATTGCCCATCTTCCTCTGCCGGAGCATGTTGACGCACACGTGGGCCACAAGAAGGCCGAAGCAAACGGCGGCGCGGACGAGGGGAGAGACCCCTGCGGTCTTTGAGCCCTCCTCGGGGATGTGTTCCTCGCCCTCCTCTTTGCAATCCCTCTCTCAATCCTTTGCTTCAGACTTCGCTGCAACCACGCTACCTCTCTCGTCTGATTTCCCTGAACCGGCAGGCGCAACCGGCGGTGACTTCCCTGGAAGCGTTGTCTGCGGGACAGGCGGTGTCTTCCTCGGAGCCGGTAGTGCGATGTCCGCGCCCGCGGCATGGACCGGGAAATCCCTGGTTGATGAGAAATATGTAAACTACGAATGGTCAAGCCCAAATTGCGACCGAACAACAACAAACACCTCAGCGTCATGCATATTGAAACCAAAACCATATGGCATTCAAGATGTTTCCAATCCGTTCGACCCAAACAAAATTCTAGCAACATGTGAGGAAATTGTTGCCCATGAATAAATATAGTTTTGTTGTTTGTTGTACGGTTGGCTTCCAAATTCATGAAACGATTGTACTCGTATATGTTATATGATTTGTTGGCCCCCTAGCTCACTATCAGGAAGCCCCCCAAGCGAATCAATGTGTAAGCCAACACATAAGATGCAGTCCGCCACACAAAGGAATCCAATTGAATCCCACCAGCCACACAAAAAAATGTACAACCCGCCCAAAAAACAAACATTAAATAATAGGTATGCTCCCACAAAAGACTCCTTCGTCATCCGTCACAGAAAATGCAAATTGTTATCCGCCACAGAAGAACTCCATGCGTCATTCAACACATAATGCAATCAACTTGTAGCCCGGTGCAGAAGAAACCTGTGTTGGGCCGCCATAAAACAAATCCTCTGGTGGAGGTTTACACTGGCTTCCATTCATGGTGGATTCAAGAGAAGCACAAAAAGAGAACAAAAAAAAATAGAGAGAAAGGGAGAACAAAGAGAGAGAGAGAGAGAGAGAGAGCGAGATAGGAAACAAACAAACAGAGAAAAAGAGAGGGAGGGAGAAAACGAGGCCCGAACGAGAGAACGTCTCAACACCAACTGAAAGCCCTGCCCCCCCGGGAGTCTCTCGGATCAAATGGCCCCGTGTCGCTGCGGTACTCAGACTCCCGCGACAGGTTGTGAACTGCCCCCCAGCCATCCCTGAACGGGAGGTGCCGCCCAAGGTGGCTGTGCCCGCGGCCACACCCGATACTTACCCAAGCCACCACCACCACCCTGAGACTGCCCCACCTTATTCGAGGAAACGCAGGACTCGGGCTCGGGGGACTCGGGTTGGCCTGACGGGGCCATCATGAAAATGACGAGACCACATCGCAAATTTGACGCGGGCTCCCGCTGCAGACATCCCGCGAAAACGGGGCCGTCAAACTCATGACGGGTTCGTCACAAAGAGTAGGTGAACCCGAGTGCCGGCGCTCTCGAGTCTTACTCTAAAACAACAACAACAACAACAACAACAACAACAACAACAACAACAACAACAAAAACAACAACAACAACAACAACAACAACAACAACAACAACAACAACAACAACAACAACAACAACAACAACAACAACAACAACAACAACAATCATTTAAGACTGGGGACACTCCGTTCTCACCAGTGCCAGGGTTTTCATAGGAGGCGGGCAATACCCCCACTTTGTGGGGGGGCCGGTTCAAGCTCTACCAAATTTCCATACGACTCTTCGCCACCACCCACACCCAGCTTCCCGCCCTATGACGTTCGGACACTTCACTTCGTGGCATGCGGACGACCGTGGCTACTATTCAGGGCCCCGCGGCCGACGACGACGGCGTGCGCGCGCGAAGAAAAAACGAATGTGTCCAATATGGTATTATTTGACAGGGATGATGGCCCTGGCATGCGCGCAACCGTTGTTGCAGAAGTTCGAAGCACGTGAAAAAGTTGCTCGCAAGAGCCCGTTTGACAGAAATGTTGAAAAAATATTGGGTTTCCTCAGAAATCCGCAAGAGCGCGCAAGATGAATTTTTGAAACTTTTTTTTTGAAAAACCATTGGGTTTTTCATGTTTTTATGTTAAAATCGCTACGAAAACTAAGGTTTTGGAAGGATTTCATCTTGCGCGCGCGAGTGTGCACTTCGTGTCATTTGTTTCAAAGGATTCTTGAAGTTTGGTTATGTTAGAACAAGAAATTTCATTTTATAGTGTTTTTTGCAAGGGAAAGCGGGCGTCAACAAAACAACCGGATCCGGACACCCACGTTTTGCCTGAGACTTCCTCACGAAAATGATGAAAATGTGGCTGCGGCCTAGGCGCGGCGGGGGGGGCGCGCACCAGGGGTCCCAACAATAATTATTCTTTAGAATAAATAATGTTCAACAACAACAACAACAACAACAACAACAACAACAACAACAACAACAACAACAACAACAACAACAACAACAATAACCATTGGCGGAGCGGGAGCACGGAGCACGCCAGAGGCGGCGCCAGAGGCGCCGCCGGGGGGGGGCCCAGCGCAGATCCAAGAAATCCGCGCGGAGCGCCAAAAGTTTATGCTCATGGCCTTTTCTCTTCCTCGACGTATCACCCAACGCCCCGCTTGCAGGGGCTCGGACTGTCTCATCGGTGCCCAATGGCCTCGGCGGGCTCCAGCGGCCGCGGCGCTGCCGCCGCCGGCGCTGGCGCCTCGGCGCCGAGCGAGGCCGCGCCGCCCTCGGGCGGCTGCGGGGCTGCCGCCGGCGCTGCCGCGGGCGCTGCCGCGAACGCGGCGGCGGCGGCGGCGCCGTCCGCCTCGGCGGCCGCCACGGGCGCGTCGGGCGGAGCACCTCGCCGTGCGGGCGCCCGGGGGGGTCGATGACAGAACTGGTTTACCCCAGACTTGGCTTTTCTCGTCGGAGCCACGGAAGAGTCGTAGAACTGTCTTTCGCGGGTCTACGCGTCTCCTACGCACAGGTGTTGAAGAATCGACGTGGAAATCAATTTTGAGGTAAACCAGTGATGCAGTCGTTGTCCCACTCCAATAGTGAGGTTGGCGACACCGGGTGACAGGAGCTGGACGGACTCCT